CTACAGTGACACTTTCTTTGATGACGACGAGACCCATCTTCTTGCAAGTGCTGTGCCTATTCCTAATTTGACAGCACCGCTGACTAATTTTGAGACAGTCTACCAATTTGTAACGTACTGTCTGGAACGAGAAACACAGCTCGTTAAATGAGTTGGAAAGAAGTGTCAAACGGAAAGTTTATCTAGAATTTTTTGAAGTCACCATGGACACCCGGGCACGTCGTATCTGATAAATGGGGAATTTGTAGTAGCAGTAGTGACATGCACCAGGACCAGAGCATTGAGGACCGGATGCCCTGCACGGGCTGATAGGAGAAGATAATAATATTTAGTTTAGGACATACAGTACACATGAAAAACTCATGTGTATGAATAGAAACCATGGGCTAATCTGGTTTCCTACTACCAGGGTAGACTGCCGGACAAAATCTGATCTTCTTGTACACTAGTAAGTAGATGTGTCCGAACTTCTAGCATAGCTAACTCATGGTAGATAAACCCTAAAACCACAACACACCTATGTACCATAGCATTCTAAATATGTCTCATTTGAAGGCTATGCACCATTACACCTACACTAAAATGTAAGGTCCGACAGCACTGGAGTTCGGTACAAGGAGTACCGAGCCGACATTAATCAACACTGATTGACAGGCTGATATGAGAGCACGGAATGATTGACAGGTTAGGAAGAGTAGAGGTTGCGGGAGAGGTTCACTTGGGGACAGAGTGCATTGGTGAACCTCTCCGTAGGTATGTGTGGAGAAGGCCTTAGAGGATGTTTAGGACTGGATAGTTGGCTATGCTGGAGATGGATAGGAGACCACGAGGGATGATGAGAGATGTCAAGGAATGAGCCAGTCTAAGGACTATCCAGAGGAGCCTGTGAAGATGGAAGAGGATCAGTAGTAGGAAGTAAATACGAAAGTAACACACTAAGGTCGCCGAGTATTCAACTAGTGAGTTCGGAGGCACTACCAATAAACCGAACGTTAACTACTGACTTACGGGTGTTAAATAGCTTCTACAAAAATAATATTTGTTTTGCTTTTTATATAAAAAAAATAGTCAAAAAAAGTATAGTCACTGCACCTGTGCACCATAGCATTCGCCCTTCGGAGAAAGGCTAAATACATAATTATGTAACATGACTGAATCTAAGTTCAATTGCAAAGCCTACGTAGTTCGGAGACATGAAAGTCGGGGAAAACAAGCTAAGTTTTATTGAACTTGGTTGGTTGGTTGGTTGCAAACTTCGCACTAGTAAAGTGAAGTATGCAACCAACAGACCTACTGTATTTATACAGGACTTGGTATAGTTATTTCGTTACGGTTGGCGCTAAGATATTTGGCGCGCAAATGAGATATTTGGCGCGCAAATGTTCAAGCGGTGTCAGCGTTTAGCTCTTTAACAAGCGTCGGCCATCAAGACGAGGGCCTTCTAGGCTTCATGCCCATGGCCTGTGTCGGGTTTCATAACAAACAAAAATAGTACATTTCATATCTGTGGCAAAATGAGTTTCATTGGCGGGCTTCCAGATCTTGATCAGCACAACAGCCAAGGCAAGAAGTAATACACGGAGAGAGAAGACAGTCACCGAGCCTCAGCCAGGCCCAGACTCCCCACTGACCAGTCCCCACTCCCAGAGGCCCACAGAGTGTTCCCCCAGACAACATATCACCACGATCTGTCAAATCCTGTGATATTTTATTTATAAATATTGTTTCAATAATAGATATAAACAACCGAGTTTGCCCGATTTTTAGATTATGCACACACACAAACTCGCATAAACACCCATGTGTACATCCTAAACAGGCCAACATAGTGAGATAGTCACTCACTTCAATAAACATACATTTTGCTACACATTCAATAGCTTGGTCTTCGTAAAACAGGAACATGGAGGGCAACCAAACACCCCCCACATCGCTGTCTCGACACGGGTCATTCGATGGGGTGGCGCGTGTGTCAAGAACGGGCTCGGTTGTACAGCGAATGACTCCCACTGACCATGAACTGACCGAAAAGATCATTGGTATGTACCCTGTGATGTGTGAATAGGTATCTGTATTGAAGGGGAACCTGCTGGTTGTACATCAACACCAGAAGAAGCCTGTTTTGGCAGTACGTGGGAACG